ACTCCAAGATCTGATACCCATAGACATACATGCAGGCAAAACACCAATGCACATAAAATAAAAATAAATAATTTAAAAAGAGAGAGAGAAAAAAATATTCTAAGCCAGGCATGGTGGCTCACGCCTAAAATCCCAGTACTTGGGGAGGCAGAGGCAGGTGGATCACTGTGAGTTCAAGGATGGCCTGGCATACAAAGTGAGTCCAGGTCAGCCAAGGCTACACAGAGAAACCCTGTCTTGAAAAACCAAACCAAACCAGAACAAAACAAAAACAAAAAACAAACAAACAAAAAAAGCCCTATTCTAATACCCGTTCTCCCAGCAGTACTCAGTTTGCCCAAAACATATCCCGAAAGATTCTTCCCACTCCCTTGGAACCACCACATAGAGTCCAGATAGCATTTCCTTTTAATCAGTCAACAGTGCCTCCAATTTCCAACCATCAGTTACAAAACACACAATTTTTGTTTTGTGGAGGACTATACCTTCAGTCCCTCACACTCCCTGCTCTCCGTACCTGACCCACTTTATGTTCTATTCTGATTTCAAAACATGTGCAATCTGAACTCAGCTCCACTCTGGCTCATGTCCAGTCTATCCTGCACACCAAGTCTGGATTATGAAAACTGGTCTCTTATTTACATCCTGTCAGAAAAGACACCCCTCAAGAACATAACTAGGTATGCTACCTCCAACTAGCTTGTATTCCCAGTACATGATAAACTGAGGCAGAACAGCCTTGAATTTGAAGCCAGCTATGTGACAAGTCCCAGGCCAGCCTGAGCTAGAGTGAGACCTTGTCTCAAAATAAAAATTAAAAAAAAATTAAAACCCAATAAACAAACAAATAAGCAGCACAGAAAGTTGATCATATTACTCCATGTCTTAGTTAGGAATTCTACTGCAGTCATATAACACCACGACCAAAAGCAATGAGGGGGAAAAGAGTTTATTTCAACTTACAAGCTTCTGTCACAGATCGGCACTGAGTTTTGAAGGGCAGGGCAGGAACTCAGGCAGGAACTGAGCCTTGCAAGCATTCCCATGGTTACTCAGCCTGCTTTCTTATACAACTCAGAACCATGTGCCCAGGGGTAGCACCACCTCCAGAAGGCCGGGCCCTTCCACATCAATTATTAACCAAAAATATGACCCACAGACTTGCTTAGGGGCAATCTGCTGGAGGCATTTTCTCAACTGAGGTTCCTCTTCCCAGGGAACTCTAATCCTCAAGTTGACAGAAAAGAACAACCAGGACCACAGACTTAATGTTCTTGTTAAATCCTTACTGCCCACAGCATAACATCACTCTTAGCTGAGAATTCACAACCTGGACCAAACTTCTCCTGTTTCTCCTCATGAAAGGATACATACAGTCTCTCATTTATCCTGCCTTGACAGTTTCCCAGTCTCCCTTTAGCTCTGTTTAGCTCCCTTCCTCACTCAGCCAGGCCAGTCCCAGCACGTTCCCACAGTGCTCTGGACCCACCACTATTACACCTGAGGGCTTTGCACACTCTAGGTTAATAATCTATCCCTCCCACCTAGTCTTCAGATTGGACTTGGGCCTTTCCTTGAACTCAAGAATTAGTTAGAAATTAATTTTACATTCCAAAGAGGCAGAAAAATTTCAGAAAGAGTTGATAAAATAATGTCATGGGCACATCTATTTATGTCATTTTTTTTCTATAAAGACTGAGAAAATTATTAGTCTATCTTAACAATTAACTATACTAAACCCAGTTTGTTTTAAATCATCCATTAAATTATTCTCTCAAAGAATTAAATCAGGGCTGGGAAGATGACTCATTGGGTAAAGCACTTGCCACACAAGCATGAGGACCTGAGTTCAGATCCTCAGCACCCACATGAAATCCCAGGTTTGACCTCCCTGAGGGGGGAGCAGCCTTGCCAGACCACAGAGGAGGATAATGCAAACCAGTCCTGATGACTCCTGATAAGCTGGGGTCAGATGGAAGGGGAAGAGGTCCTCCCCTATCAGTGGACCTGGAGAGGGGCAAGGGAGGAGATAAGGGAGGGAGGGTGCTATTGGGATGGACTGAGGGAGGGGGCTACAGCTGGGATACAAAGTGAATAAACTGTAATTAATATAAAAATTAATTGAAAAGATAATAAAATAAAATAAAATTGAACATAATAAAAAATTTAAAAAAAAAAGGAATCCCAGGTTTGGCAGCAAGTGTATGCATGTAATCCAAGCACCAGGAGGCAGAACTGATAGGCCAAAAAACAAACAAGCAAGCAAACAAACAAACAAACAAAAAAAGGCCATCTAGTCAATCACTGAGCATTGATTCAGTAAGAGACCCTTTTCTCAAAAAAGAAAGCTTTTACGTGTACACGTGCACCGTCACACACACACACCAACACAAACAAAAGCATTTAATAAAAAGTTACTGATTTGTTTCCTAGTAGGTATTACTTACAATTCTTTGTTCTAAAATAGTTTCAAAAATATTAGACCGCAAAGCTGGACAGGAAAGCACATTTTTGCAGTCCTAACACTCACTCACTGCATAGAGTTTGAAGCTAGCATGGATTCCAGATGAAGTTCCAGGCCAACCTGCATTCCAGACAAGATTGCTCTCTTAAACACAGGTACAATGAATGTACTACGTAGCCAAAATGATCGTAGCCACCGCCACACAAATAACTAAGGGTGCCAGAGAATTAACCATAATTGTTTTTACAACTAAAAGGCCTTGAAAAGTCAGCCCACACGTTCCCCTTACACATGATATACCTGTATACATATAGTGAAGGGATGTGAAAACATGGGAGCCAGGCCTTGTGGTGCAGGACTGTACTCTCTGCTGTGTAGATGGCTGAGGCAAGAAGATCACAAGTTCAAGACCTACCTGGACTAAAGAATAAGTTCAAGGCTAATCTTGGCAACTCAGTAAGACCGTCTCAAAATAAAAATAGAAAAGGGAGGGGCTGAGGAAGGCTCAGTGATAGAGCACTTGCTTGGACGTGCAAGCCCCTGCATTCAATCCACAGGAAAAGAAAGAAAGCAAAATGGGGTGAGGGCCACAAGCTTTTAGGACAGAGACTTAAACTTCAAAGTGCTCCAGTTTCCTCATCTGTTAAAGTAGCCACTTCACACAGCTCAGTCGGCTGACTGAGCTGACACTTCTAAGGCCCTTGACACCCCGCCAAGGAGGGTGGCATGCACTACCACCCACATGTCTTAAAAAGGCATGTCTCCCACATGCCTTTAATCCCAGCAGTTGAGGAGACAGGCAGACCTCGGTGAGCTCAAGGCCAGCCTGGTAAACAAAGCAAGTCCAGGAGTTACACAGAGAAAGCCTGTATCCAAAAACAAAAACAAACAAACAAACAAAAAGGCTGCTTAGTGAAGAAATGGCAGCTCCATTCACAAACAAAGCAAAGCGCTCCACAGAAGTTACATAATTACCTGTATTTTTAGAGGCAACCTTGTTACCACTACATATAACCTCAAAGCCAGACCAAACTGACCCTATTTCCCCAGATACAGTTTGGAAGAGTCCCTTCCTGACACCTGCAGCAGCCAGCCTTTAGACATAGTGGTAAGAGGGCTCCCCAACATTTGCTCAACTTAAGGCCATATGGTAATCACAGTGCCAGATATACACTGGGCATTCCTGAGGCAGTGGCTATTGGTGACTGGAGCTAGTGCTCCTGTGAGTTTTCCCGTTTTTTGTTTTGTTTTGTTTTTGTTTGCTCTTTTTTTTACCAGCTCAAAAGGTTACACAAGTTTGAGGGCTGGGGCAATAGCTCAATGGCTAAAAGCGCTTACTGCACTTTTAGGGGACCAGGGTCAGGTTCCCAACAAAGGCGTAAGGTGACTCAAAAAACACCCGTACTTTCAGCTCCAGGTCTCCACATTGCATAGCGCATATAAACTCTCAAAGCCTCACATACACAAACAAAAATAATGTTTTTAAAAACACAAATTTTACAAAGTCTTTCATCAAAACAGTATTTTTAAAAGTAGCCCAACTATTTTAACTTTTTATGACAAAAATGAGGTGTGGCTTTTTGTTTGTTTGTTTGTTTTGTTTTGTTGCCGAAATATGTGATAAATATGAATGGGAAGCATTTTATCTTGGCAATGCCTTTACCGACTTCTTTTCCAATGCTTTTTCTTGGAATTACACTGAATGCAAAACTCTGATTTGTCCACATCCATTCAGGGCACACTGAATACAGTAAGCATTCTTCAAGTGAACTTCAAAGGCAACTAAGCCTTCGGGCAAGATCCGGGAAACAACAATACACACACAAAAAAAAAAGCCTTACGCCGTTATTGCTTCCGGTCAAACATAATCTCAGATGTTAAGATAGAACCTGAAAGATAAACCTGCAAAGTGGGCGTGGTGAAGCAGGCCTGTTATCACACCAATAAGAAGGCAGAGGGAAGAAGGACGAGTGAGAAGGCCAGCCTTCGGCTAGAGCACGTCTCAGAACAAGGGAAGTGTGGCTCGCCGGCAACCTCCGGTGTGGCCTACCTTTCCTTCTGTGACACCGCCACCTAGACCTAGGGCACACCTGTCAACCAGCAACAAACAGGCAGCCCGGGCCCTGGAAAACTCTCTTGTGGTCTTTGCACGTGGCGACCCCTGGGAAGCTCTGTGCACGTGGGATCTGGGCCCTGGCACACCTTAGGCGGTTTGGGGGACCGAGCATCCCCCGGCGCTGCCGAGATGTGAGGTGGCCAGGAAGGTGCCCCTTCCGTGAGCACAGACGGGGCACCCGGCGCTGCTCGCCCCACAGCCCGCCGGGCTCCGGAGGCCTCCGTCTCCCTAGAGTGCTCGCCCTAGCCCTGCGCCCAACGCCGGCGAGTGGCAGCACCAAGCCCCAGGGCCCACCCGCGGAGGCCTGCGCTCGGGGAAAGCGGCCGCGCCGCAGCTCCCCGTTCGCCCACTCGGGGAATCCCCCGGCCGCCGCCATGTTCCCCGCGCCGAAACCCGCACCCGACGCCGCGGGCCGCGCACCTGGGACACGCCGGGGGAAACGCGCGACGTCGCGGGGACACTGGGGCGACTCCACGGGGGTCACAACCTGCGAGCAGAACCCGCCGCTAATTCATCCCGAAGCGGGGAGGCGTCGAGCCCGTCGCCTTAGTAATGCGTCCCACCAGGCTCCACCCTGATTGGCTGCGGGCGCTATGACGCAAGGCGTCCCCGGCTGCTCGGGAAGCCCTTGTGCTGGGCGCTCCGCCCCTGCTCCGCCCCTGCTCCGCCCCTGCTCCGCCCCTGCTCCGCAGCCCGGAGAGACCCCGGGCGTCGTCTAGGCTCCTTTAAAGGGGACGTGCCTAGCAGAGCCTGTCCTGCTGGACAGGTAGAAAGCCGAAGGGCTAGAGAAGCAAGAAACCAAAATTGGAACACAGCGGGCGTCTCCGGGAAACCTAATAGCTGCGTAGGGAAGCGATAACAAATCTAGAGCAAGCACTTGCAAGCCTAATTTTAACGCCCGGAATCAAAGAGCAAATTAACAGCCAGCCAGTTCTAGAACCCAAGTTCCTGATGGTGCAAAACTAAAGGGACCTTCAACCTCTGAGGATGCCTAATGGAAAACAAATCAGAGGCAGTCATTTACAGCTACTTTTTTTTTTTTTTTTTTTTTTTTGCCCCAAGTAAAGAACAAATTAGCATACAAGCCAGTTCTAGAACCCGGGTCCTGATGCTGTAAAACTTAGTTCACCTTCAACCCCCGAGGTTGCATAACGGAAAACAAATCAGAGACACTACTTAAGTTTTTTGTTTCGGTTTGGTTTTTGTTTTTGTTTCTGTTTTTTGTTTTGTTTTGTTTTTTTGGCCTCAAGTCAAAGAGCAAATACACAGTCGGTGACAACACAACTGTTGGCTAATTCAACAGTGTTTTCTCAACTCTCAACTTTCCCTTCCCTGATGGCCCAATCGGTTTTTTGTTTGTTTGTTTGTTTGTTTTTGTTGCATTACACTCTTCTTGGAAGATCTTTGTGCCTTTCTACTGTGTTGAGTACGACCTCAAACCGACCAGACTAAGTGCCTGGATGGATGCTAGAGACTGTGGTTAACTGAACCTTTTTGCGTTTCCCCTGCACAATGCCTTCCTTTGGCTTTTAATAAATAATAAAAACCTTTAAAAATAATAAACATCCACGCATTGCCCACAGAATCAACAGCCCTTCGTGTGTGTTTATAGATTTAATTTGTTTATTTAACATGGAACAGAGATAATCTTCATTTTGTTTGTTTGTTTGTTTTTGTTTTTAAGTATAGGGTAGCCTTCTGTGGCGGTACATGCCTGTAACCCCAGCACTCCTAAAGCAAAGTCAGGAGCATTGTGTCAGCAAGACTGAATTTTAAAAAAAAAGATACCTAGTGGGGGACACATCCCTTTAATCAATCAAAGCATTCAGGGAGGCAGAGGCCATCTGGCCCAGGACAACCAAGGCTACACAGAGAAATACATTCCTGAAGAAACCGAAGAAAGAAAGAGAAAGAGAGAAAGAGAAGAGAAAGAGAAAGAGAAGAGAAGAGAAGAGAAGAGAAGAGAAGAGAAGAGAAGAGAAGAGAAGAGAAGAGAAGTGAAGTGAAAGGAAGAGAAGTGAAAGGAAGAGAGAGAAAGGAAGGTAGGAAATGCAAGTTACCTTTCTTGCAGAGATTCGGCATTACATGGCTTTTACTTTTGTTCAATGTTTAAGTATTTGAGATGTGCCAAAATTGTATTTGAAAACAAAAAATGCAACAAAGGAAAACACCAGCACAAAAATGCAATTATAGGGCTGGAGAGATGGGCTCAGTGGTTAAGAGAACTGGCTGCTCTTCCAGAGGACCCAGGTTCAAACCCCAGCACACACACATGGCAGCTCACAACTGTCTATAACTCTAGCTCCAAGGGATGCAACACCCTCACACAGACACAAATGCAAGCAAAAACACCAGTGCACATAAAATTTAAAAATAAATATTTTTTTTAAAAAAATGTAATTATCTGTATGAGGTTGGATAGACCTTATTTTTGTCACTATAATCAGAGTTCTAGACATTCTTAATTTTTGTAGGGCTTGCCATTGTTTCAGACTGAATGTGGTGATCCTCCAGAACCTGTCAGGGATGTACTGTGGCTTCTCCGAGGATATGAGGAGGCTGTACATAGCCTTGCCTCAGCTGGAGAATCCTCTTGTGTTCTAACTGGAGATTAAGAGAGAGTAGTAAAAGGAGCAGGGGTACTTAGAACTCTGGGATAGCCCCATCAACTTAGATACCTTAACCAACATTTCGAAAGAAAGAAAGGAAGGAAGGAAGGAAGGAAGGAAGGAAGGAAGGAAGGAAGGAAGGAAGGAAAGAAAGAAAGAAAGAAAGAAAGAAAGAAAGAAAGAAAGAAAGAAAGAAAGAAAGAAAAGAAAGGAAAAGATTCAGAGTACTTCTCATTCCTCAGTCTATGGTTATAAGAAAAAAAAAAAAAAAGGCCAGGTGGTTATAGCACACATTTAGTCCCAGCACTCAGGAGTCAAAGACAGGCAGATCTCTCTGAGTTTGAAGCTAGCCTGCTCTACAGAGAGAGTTCCAGAACAGCCAGGGCTACACAAAGAAACCTCGTCTTTGAGGGAAGAAAAAAGTAAGATGCTTTGGAAAAGGGCTAAAGAAAGAAACGTGTGTCCTCATGTCAGCAGTCTTTCCTTCAGTTCTTGCAGTCTGTCTAAGAATAGGCTCAGGTCTTGAAACTGGGCAACAGATAACAATTTTCCATTGTGGTGATGTCTGACACCACTCCTTTACTTACCCCTGATCTACTGAGACTATGCATTATACAGTACCCTTACTGTCTGCCCGCATGCCTCCTGCCTGTGTTCCCGCAGTCTTCTTCATAAGATCAGGTCAAGACCCCTGGCTGCCACTTATACCTTGCCATCCATTATGGTAATTAGATTGTCACTGCTTCTCACAGTTGTGTCACTATTCTGGTGTCTGTCATTCCGGATGTTACTACGAAAGGTTCCTGTTTTAGAACATTCCCATTAACCCTGTCCTGCTTTTAGAAGACAAGCACCTCTGAGCTTCTCAGTGATGCTATTACTCCCAGGCTGAGCAACCCTCATCACCTTGATAAGCAATGTCATCCAGGCCCTTACGGGGGGGGGGGGGGGGGGGGGGGGGGGGGCAGAAAATTCTTAATTCTTCTAATCACTTGTCCAATGCATTTGAAGCGACTCTAACTTTTTTTCATACTTACATCCACATTGTACCATGAATAAGAGTTCTGACATCTCTCTTTTCATGTGGCCATGTGCTCTCCCTGGATTTTAAGAATCATCCCAGCAGTATGTTAGAAATGGTTCACAGAGCTCTGACCATGGCCAAAAATAAATAAATAAAACCAACACACTACTTTCCCTTTGTCATTGTGAGGTCAAGATGAGGTTTGACGCACAGACCCAAGTAAGCAGACCCTGTTTTTGTGTCAGTTCCCCAAGTCTGGCCAGCTCTAAAGTTCTGGGGCTTCACCTAGTCTTCAGTTAGATGGCAATTGACAAAAATCTTTTAAAATTTTTCAGATTATGTCTTCTGACTCAAACATGTTCCTTGCTTAAGAAAAGCCATCTGACATAAACTGATTGGCCTGCTCTGTGATCACCTCCCCCTCAGGGGGCTGCAGCCTTACCAGGCCACAGAGGAAAACAATGCAGCCAGTCCTGATGAGACCTGAGAGACTAGGATTAGATGGAAGGGGAGGAGGACCTCCCCTATCAGTAGACTGGGGGAGGGGCATGGGTAGAGAAGAGGGAGGGAGGGTGGGATTGTGAGGGGAGGAGGGAGGGAGCCACAAGGGGGATACAAAGTGAATAAACTGTAATTAATAAAATAAATAAAAAATAAATTAAAAAAGAAAGAAAGCCATCCATCTCCGAGTCCTTACAGTATTTCTTCAAACCTGTCCATCACCTAACACTACATCAGCTAATGCACTTTATTTTTTGCACCCTTCTCTTGTTCAGCAAAGTGGTCTGGCACACTATCCCCGTACCATTAATACTCCAGTAACTAGCCATGGGATTCGCTTGCTGTTGCCTAGCAATGGGACTTGTCCTCATTACCTTCCCGTCCTCTTGAGAATCCCATCTTTAGTTGGCTTCTTCGGAACACCTCCTGCTGGTGGCTTCCTAGAAATAGGGGCCGAAGTAGAGATCCACTTACAGAACTCTTGCTCTCAAAAGAAGATGGGGTGAAAGAAATAGAATACGAAGATGAGAGAGGAAAGAAAGCAACAATGTGGTCTCAGCTGGAGGCTTCAGCTAGAACCCATGTGAACTCTGAAGCAGAAATTGTTCTACGCCTTGGTGGAAAGGAGTTGATTCTCTTGTGTTCCATTCCTGTACTGGTTAGTTTCAAGAACAGGTGATCTGAGGATGTGGTACAGAACCAGCACAGCAAGGCAGCTCACACTTCTGAAGGATGCCCTCTAGAGAAGAGAGACAACTGTGAGCCATTAGCAACCAAAGCTCAGAGCAGCAGGAGGATGGGTGCCCCATATTGCAAGGATCCTGACAGCATCTACTGTAGACATGTAAGGAATGCAAAGTCAGCTTCTTGAAGGTGTCCATATATGACTGCGCATGCCTGGGAATCTCTCAAAAGTCGCAAGAGAAACTCTTGCAACAGTTGCTTCTGGGTAGCAGAATTGATACCAGCAAACTGCTGTGTCTGTGTTCCCTGTTCTACAATTAGAATTTTATCCAGGTATGTCTTGCCTTTTTAATTTTGATGTAGGTAACCATAATTTACAGGATGATATTAATCTACTCCACTGCCCAGAAGGATAATTTCTCCCCAGTTTTGAATCTTTCTTAATTTCCTACAATACAATATACAGCTTATAAATGACTCAACCTCATGAGCCATTAATTTAATAGGCACATTTAATAGGGCACGCTCTGCAATGCTCAGAGAAACAGGATCACAAGCAGTAAATGCCACATCCTAGTTCTTATTGTGCTTTTGTTACTATTAAATACCTATATGGCCATGCTATTGCTTCTTCTTCTTCTTCTTCTTCTTCTTCTTCTTCTTCTTCTTCTTCTTCTTCTTCTTCTTCTTCTTCTTCTTCTCCCCCCCCCTCCTCCTCCTCCTCCTCCTCCTCCTTCCAAAT